TGAGTCTATCGAAGACGTCTTTCGGCATGATGCTGACACTGGCTCCCAGGTCGTATAAGGCCTGGTCGAATTGTTGTGCCCCGATCTAGCAAGTGATCGTAGGACACCCCTGATTTTTCTTCTTCTCCGGGAGCTTGTGGAGTATCACGTTGCTGCATTGCTTGACCACCTCTGTTGTTGGGAGCGGTCTCTTGTTGTTGACTATGTCCTTGAGATAACGGGTGTATGTTGGTACTTGCATAGCATCCAACAACGACACGTTGATATGGATCTTCTGGATTACTTCAACAAAACGAGCGAATTGCTCGTCCACTGACGGTTTCCTACACCGTTGGGGAAACGGCAGCAACCGTGTGTCGCAGTATTCCTGCGGCACGGTCTTCTCTGGCTGAACCTCTTTGTCAGCCGAGTCACTAGATGGCGCTTGTTTTGATATCCCGTTAGTTCCTACAGGGTTAGGATATAGCGGATCACGAGTGGACTTACATCCTCTCGTCGTGATCGCCTTGACTTTACCTCCTCACGAGTCGGGTCGCCCCAGAATCCTCCCAGTTTCATTTGCAGGGTTTAAGGATGCCAACTGAGCTAGCTGGGTTTCTATCATTTTATTGAAGCTCAGCTGGTTTTGAAAAGCAGAAGCGAAGCCATCTAACTTGACATTAATGTTTTCTAGGATCTTATCATTGGCCGCAAGCTTTTTGCTTAATGCATCGGTGGTTTTAGCTTGCGCAAAAACGAGATCCTTCAAGGAGGGCTGTTAGAAAAATTACCGTTGTTGTTACCTCCTTGATAATATAGGCGTGGTTGGTTCCACCCCTAACCTCCTTGTGAACGATACCCATTGTTGTTGCCCATGTACATCGCCTCCTCACGGGTTTCCGGGTAGTCATTCCCAGAATGACCTGTGTTGCCGCAGACCTCACATGTGACGTGAGAGTCCAAGGCCTTGACGGTGCCTTGTGGCCGTTTCTCGTGGTCGTCCAAGCATTTCATGAGGAGGTCCAGCTTGGCAGCAAGTAACTCCGACTCCTTGACGGTGTGCATGCCTCGCTGACGCATCTGAAGTCGTTCCTCGTTCCAACCCATATTGGAGACCATCTTCTCTATTAGTTCAACGGCTCCTTGAACCATTTTAGAGAAGAAGGCTCCTCCAGCTGCCGCGTCGAGGTGATAGCGGGACATCGGGGTGAGTCCATTGTAAAAGTTCTGCAGGATCAGCTAGTCGTCCATCCCATGATGAGGACAGGCGGCCACTTACTCCTGTAGACGCTCCCATGCTTCAAGAATAGACTCATCTCTTGTCTGCTGGAAACTGGAAATCCTTCCATGAAGGGCATTGGTTTTGCCCATCGGGAAGAATTTCGAGAGAAATGCCCTAGAGCATTTGTCCCAGGTGTTGACAGCAGCACGGTTGGCATAGAACCACTGCTTCGCTCTCTCAAGAAGGGAGAACAGAAATAGTCGTAGCCTGATGGTGTCGGGACTGACGCCCTTGATGGTGTACATGCTACAGATCTTCAGGAACTGTTGCAGATGAGCATTGGCATCCTCATTAGGCTTGCCACAAAACGGGCTAGCCTGCGCCATCGTGATGAGGCTAGAGTTCAAGTCGAAATCCACGTCGCCTATGTTCACCTGTGGCCCAATGACCACATTGTCAGCAGAGGGAGCAGCGAACTCGTGGAGAGTCTTGTTAGCCATAGTCTTGAACGTCGGTGGCGCTGGTACGGTTGGTTTCTTTGTCGGTAGAGTTTTCTGCGGAGCAACTACTTGAGGCCTGACGCTCCGGAAGAAAGCGTCAGAAATGCTTGTTGGTATTTCTTAACGACATTACTAGAAATATAATCCCCGGCAACGGCGCCAGAAATGCTTGTTGGTATTTCTTAACGACATTACTAGAAATATAATTCCCAGTAATGGCGTAGAAATACTTCTGGTATATTATGGTTACAGAGTTCATCCGCAAGCGCACGGATATACCATTGTAGCATTTCACCCGAGAGTATTCCAAGGGTATCGTATTTATTTTATCCCGTGGGAATATCATGTAGAGAGAACATTGACTAATAATTTATATATGACTGGTGATAATCATATTCTAAGCAGGGGTTAAGATAATCCAAGGGTAGAGTGACACACAAGCGTTAACTACTCATTCTCATACTTTATAATCTAAGCTAAGTGGAAAGAAAATAGGAAGAAAATCTATTCCTATACTTCTAATATACATAGTATACATACATTCTAGTTAACCGACATTCTATCCGATGCCCTCCTGGTACTTCGAGAAGCCACCCCTGACTGCCGAGTTCCTTACGACAGCCCGTCATGACCATACAATCGGGGCTAAATACGAAGGAATACCCTCCCCATGGAATTAACTTAGGATTATATACCGGCGCGGAGGAATACCCGTACTGAGCTGTCACCATCAGTGGCCCACCTCTCATCCGCAATATATAACCCCAAATAATGATATCCCGTAATCTAGACAATACGTCTAAACTACCAGATACTACTCTAATATCATCGTTATGACATAGAGTAATTGCATAAGCAAACATTATATCCACACCAAAGCATCTCCCAGATAAGCTAGCCGTATATTTAGTATAACATGAACATAATGTAAAGTAGGTGCTCATATTCTCGGAAAGTATTTCAATACCATAAATGTATTTAGAAGAGTATTCTAATAAAAGTACAAAGCTTACAAAAGAGAAGAGAAAAGCTAATAGAAACATACCCAAACTCTTCCGAAGGCTTCCGAACTCCTGATTTCTACTCTATTCCTATTCCACCAGCTAGATAGTACTAAACTAAACTTGAGACAAATGAGAGAGCTATTGCTTGAGGTGTGTGAGTGAAGTGAGAAGGTGATGTCCTTTTATAGGCACCATCCGGAATCTGAATTTCTTCATTCTCAACGGATGGCGGCTCGGGAACTTTTTCATCAATCGAGTCGGTGGAAGTGGAAGGTTCAGATTGTGACTCGATTGTTGAAGGTTCCTCTATTATGGACACGGATGCCTCTAGCTGGGGTTCATCGCATTGCGTCATGATGGAAGTATTTTCTAGAATGCGATCTAGAATTACTTTTCCTTCTGACGGTGTTTTATGCATGAATGATCCTCCAGCAATTATATCCAGATAAAATGCAGACTCCTTATCCAGACCTGTATAAAAATGTTGCAAAAGCACATACTCGGGTAAGGACATGGTTGGTCCGGACTGCACTAAATTAGTGAATCTGGACCAGGCTGCACCGATTGATTCGCTTTCAATCTGCCGGAAACTGAGAATTTCTTCTCGAAGGGCAGTAATACGAGTATCTGGGAAGAAGGCAAGACAAAATTTGTCTCGCAGCTTTTCCCAACTACTGTTTACACATCCAATGGTAGAGGTGTACCATTGCTTCGCTCTGTCTTGAAGGGAGAACGGAAACAATTTCCACTGTACGGTTTCTTGCTTCATGCCACGAATCTTAAGGCATGAGCAGACTTAGCTTAAAGTCCCACATATGATGGTTGTGGTTTTCTAGATCAAGGCTAGAAAAAGTTTTTTCACTAACCATACGATTAGTTCGGAGCGAATTTCATAGCTAGTTGTATAAATTGGCTCCGATGAAGGAGGTGTAAATTGGCTCCGATGAAGGAGGTGGTTCATAGAATTCGCTCTTAGGAGCAGACAGCTCGAAAAGAGATTGCTCCATGGTCGAGAAGAATTTAAAAGGAATACTTCTCTGGATAGCAAGGGTAAAGGTAGAATAAAAAAAATGAAAAGAGATACGAGGATGAACTGGGTTCGAAAATGATAAGCAACAATTCCCCGGCAATGGTGCCAGAAATTCTTGTTGGTAATTCTTACGGTCACAGATAAAATCCGCAAGCGCACGGATATACCGATGTAGCACTTCCTTTACGAAGTATTCTAAGGGTATCGAATCCAAGGGAACGTTGTTGACACGGAAAACACACACTGGCCTGGGAGATCTGCTTAGCTCTAGTGCAGGTCCAAAGGTTGACGATATACGGACGTGCCACTCAGTTTGATCCTGCAACTGACAAGACTAGTAATATGCACGTGCTAACGCTACGACAATATTTGATAATGCAAAATTAAAAAAATCAAAATATTTTATATATCTTGAAAGTATAAAATGAGATAAATTTTAAAGTCAAGAAAAAAAAGTTCAGTTTAAATAACAAATTTTAAATCATGCAGAAAAAAAATCAGGTCCAGAGATGGATAGCACCAGTAGCTATACCGTGTTACTCTAAAATACAGAATAAAATAATTTTATCTCCTGGATGTAAATCTATATTTTTGTTTCATAACACCACATTTTTCACAATTACAAAGAGGGTCGCCTCAAGCAATCGAAACATCAATGGTCACTACATGCATCGCTAGAAAGAACATCATCTTGATGTAAACTGCTGGACCTGAATAGATTGGCCTCTCTAACAGCACCAGGATCAGCTCCAACATCATCTTAAGCTAGAAATAACTTCGATTTCTGAAAGCTCAGGAAGACATTAGCATGAGGCATGTTTGCATGGTTCCAACTCCTAAACTCCTGAGAAACCAAATGCCTTAAAAAAATTTCTCCTTTAGCCACATCAAAAATCTTTCAAGCAAATTACGTCCAAATAAAAAGAAGTAACAGAACCGGCCATAGAATTTATGCATTGCATCATTATTAGTAATTACAAAGTCATCAGCACACTTCAATATTCAAAATGCCAGAGAAAACACATCTTTACTGGATTCATCCAATAGCACTTTTTCATGGATATTATGAAGCTATCGTTTCATTGTCTGGAGCTCCAAAATTGGTTGGTGCATACAAAGGAGATACTCCACTTAATATCAAGCAATTGACAAAATTAACATATTTTCAAAATTATGGCACCTCACAAAAGGGAAAATTGACCTTCTGCTGCAGCCTACATAACACATATCAGCAGCACAACAATTGCAGTTCAAAGAGTCTACACTGATGAATAAAAATTGATTTGGTTGATAGAAAGAACCACCCAAGTACTCAATACAAATAGAAAATTGCAATAATTGTTCAGTATTTACAGCGAAACCTAAATCTACAGGAAATAACAGCCTCAATCTGCCATGGAGAAACTTTTCCAATATATTTCCACTAAGTTAGGCACTCAGGCTAGCAAAATGAATACAAGATTCCAACTAATCAATTTCTGAAATAACATGGTGTCTAGAAATGCTAATCCTAATTTTAGTGCTGTTCTACTTACCCTGGAGAGATCTTGGTCGATGTCAACGATTATCATGACCATGTTGGTGGATGGGGACAAGGCTCTTTGAGGCGGTCTTCCTCCTTTCATTGGCAATGCAAAAACAGTTCTGCACCCTCCAAATCCTACTCTGAGTGGGCCTCACACCGCCGGCGGAATTCCATTAGTATATAATATAATTCAATCTGCATTCAACAAAGACCAAGAGTTATTGAGCCCTCCCAAGTATTTGCAATAAAAATGGAAGATAACTGCATGAATAATTGTCACTCTAATATCAATTTACAAGTTCACATTATACCTCTTTGTCGACAAGGCCGAGGAACTCTTGATGCTCCTTGCTAACAGACTGCAATATAAGGAAATCAGAAAAAGATAACATCACCTGTTGTTTTCTCAACGCAATGTTAGCGCTCCTTTCATAATATAAGCATTCTTCCTAGAGTAACAACAGTATTCATGCTCTTCTCTAATTGAATATGCAAAGAACACTGATTTTTCCTTATCAAACAAAGGATGCTACCATATAACATTTAAAATGAGTAGAATCATCAATACAAATTTATCAATTTATGTGCCAATTATGATCATCAACAAATAGGCGATTAGCCTAATGAAATACTCTACATACCAGCAAAGATTGCCATCTGCTAAATCCTTACTGAAGCATACTGAAAAGCCAAATCTCCTCCTGGATAAAAGGAAACTATAGATTTAGTCATCTATTTTTTCAGATTATCAAGCTAAAAGAGTGCCATAAGAGATGGCAAACTTCAATTGTGAAGGAATGCAGTGTGGAACAGTAAGCCCATAAAAAAATTCCAGTGTGTTCTGATAACCATTTAGAAACTTTAGTATTTTCTAGTAGTTGATTGTTTTGATGTTACAATCAATGTGATAACACAACAGCTAGTGAATTTATGTATGTTCATTATCTAACTTACAGATTTCATAATGAACATACATAAATTCCTTGTGCTTGAATAAAGGAAGTGAACAAGATTCACTTAGCATAGTGCCATAGCAACATGAGATGGCAATCGTAATTCATCTGCAATGCAAACCATCCAAAGGGAATGGCAGGCACTATTGGACAAACACATATACACAAAGCAGCTACATTACCTTGAAAAAAAAAATCAGAAAACAGCAGCTGCTCATGGGCTACACTGTATCAAACATTGGAGACTCATCGGCAGACGAAAATCCACAGACCAAACTCTTAAAAATAAAACCTACTCCACCTATCCAGAAATATAGCAAAAGAACTCATGTCTTATAGTTGCAAACAGAAGTATCCTAAGTTTAATTTCAGTCATCTTTAGCGTGTCATATACTCACCGTACAAAGAGCATTTCAGCGCACAAAAAGTTTAATTATCTGTCCTATATGCAGAAGTAGCAAATGTCCCTCTATCAATTAGCAAGCATGGCATAAATCAGTCCATAGTCTGGTAATCAAAATGATGGATGTTCTCTGATGAATCCAAATAATGACTCAGTGGCAACAAATGATACATGCACAACAGTTCAGGATCTTGAGCATAGAAGAAACAAATGATACAAGCCAATTCCCTTATTATTTACAACACATTGATTGACTATCTTTATTGAGCAATATAATAAAAAAAAAGGCACAACAAATGGGTTTATAGCCTACCAAATATTACACAAGTAACCCAAACATGGAAGTACAGCTAAACCATTTCACGACTTGTGAAGGTATCAAAGCAAGTTAGTTACATGTAATTTAATCTCAAAGCAGAATATCATTTCAAAGATAATTAATCAGACCAGCACAAATGGGGCTATACTGAAATTTTGATAGGGAAGACTTATAAATTTGATTGCACTGTTCATACTAAACTTACAGGGAGGACCTTGTATTGCTCTGTCCCAGACTGAAGCTGCTGTTGATATACCATAATATTTGGATTGTACTGCATTGAACAGGGACAAGATGGATTTCAAGAGCATATTATGAGGAAAACCATCAATACGTTCCAAAAAAAAAAAACCTTCGAGAGACAAAGTTGTAAAACCAATATTATATAGAAAGCTAAAGTGTTATCTGTCTGAATAACCCTAAACTTAGAAACAATAAAATGAGCCATACTAAAGAATCCTCTTAATATTTTATCCTCTGATCGCATGAACAAAATTAGGGTGCTATATGGCATAAGTATGAAAAAAGGGTTAACTCAAGTACTAACACTTTCAGTTATTTGACATATGGTCGGGAAGCAAGAAACGCATAAATGTAATTTGACATGCTAATACTACATACACCACAATTTAGTAAAGCAATGCCCTTTTAAAATTTGACAGCATCGTTTTAGACTAAACGCGACAAAAGTGCATAAATAGATCATGTGTGAAACAGATATGTATATGATTGAGTAACTGGAGTATGTTAAGAGTAACTAAAATGCAATCTTAAAAATAAAATCATGTTCACCTTCAAGCCAGGGCAGATGGATTCAAATTCAATCTTTAAGCTTCATAAAAATATTGCCCTTCAAATAATTCCTAGGGTGTGGAACAATGGCCATGAATCCGGTAACTGACATATCAAGGCCTCCTAGAATAATTGACAATGATGAAGAACACATTGCATTTACCAAGGAAACTTATCACAAATGCATGTACTCCAATTATACATGTGTCCAAATAAACATGTCACTGCATTGAGACTTCGAATCAGTAACACGTTTCCATTGTGAATTTAGAGGATGTCACAGGAAACATATTTAGAGGATATCACTGAAAGAGATGCTCATATTTATATAACAAGCATCAGAAAATGGTGACGAATAAATGTATTATGATAGTTCCGGTAACCGAACAGAAGAACATATGCAAATTATACTGCATTAGTTTTTTTGTCTAAACATGTATATAATACCACCACCACCAAACATAGAAGAACAGAGACAAATCATTCAAGGGTAAACTACCATTGATTCAGATGCGATCGTCAGCAATAATTGATTCATTCAAATCATCATTGTGTTTAGTGCATTAGTTTTTTTTTCTAAACATGTACTCCAAATTATATGATCACCATAGTATTGAATGTGACGACGCGGATTACTTGCAGCATAATAAAATTGAAATATAGCCGGCGGGGGGACTTATTTGGAAGAGAGCTGACATATTAGGGATGGGTGAGGGGATGTGTACCTCTATCTGCGGCAGAGGGCGGACGTGGTGGCGGCGGCGAGATGGAGAGTGGAGACCGGTGAGGCGCGGAGTGGCAGAATCACCTCCCTGGCGCCGGTGGCCTCCTGCCGATGTCGATGATGGAGGCGACGGCCGCGGCGAGGAAGAACTCCTTCCCGGCCCGGGCACCCCGGGAGGCGCCGAAGGGGACCACGGGGAGGTCGATCTCGAAGGGAATCCGCTTGTGCGACGCCGCCGGCCACGGGAACTGCGGCGGCTGCGCCTGCAGCAGGCCGGTGAACCCCTGCGCGAGGCGGCGCTCGATCCTGACGCGGAGGGGAGGGATGCGGAGGAGGCACGGCGAATGCGGAAGAGAGGGAGATGCGGGAGAGGATGCGCGGTCGCGCCGATGCGGAGGAGGCGCGTCGATTGCGGCAAATAGAGAGAGAGAGAGAGGGGGGGGGGGGTGCGGGAGAGGATGAGGACCGACACGCGCCCATGTGGGACGTCCGATCTAACACATCGGATGATTTTACACCGTTAGATATGTGATATGATGAATGAGTAAATGAATAAAATCATTTGTTTAACTATAGGGTAGATATGCAAATAGTAGATTAATGAGCCGATCGGCTGACAAGCCGATGGAGTAGTTTCAGTCGATAGCCGATATTAGCCGATGCCGATAGGGTTTTGAGCTATTGGCAATATGTCAAATGTAGATAATGATATAAAGGCAGTCGGCTGATGATGATGCAATATAACAACAATATAATCCAGTAGAAACTAATCGGCTAACAAGATGATATGATAGAACAAGTACTGATCCGATGGTTAAAGCATGCATTGGCTGGAGGTCCGATGTCATAAAATCCACAAGATTAGATAAATCAATGAAACCTTTGTTGTCAACGGCTAAATACAACTTATATGTATATGCAATCCTTATAAGCCGATGCAACATCCAGATAACTTATCGGCTAGCACCCCGATAAAACATTAGCATGAACCTATCGACTTAGCAAGATTTATATTATCAACAACAATCTAGTAGGTCGAACCTACCAATGCAGCACGAGATTGTATATGATAATCTAATACTCGGTAAGCCGATAGATCTATCTAATATGATGGATATAGCAAATCTATTTAGGCCCTCTTTGTTTAGGCTTATAAGCCAACTTATAAGTCGAAAAGTCTAAGCCAAAACAAACAAGCAGCTTTTTTATTTGGCTTTTTTGAAGCCATAAGCCACTCTAACACTATTAAGCCAAAAGCTAGGTTGGAGAAGCTTTTTTGGCTTATATGAGATAGATGTATGACTCCACCACTAAACTTAGGACATTAAATCCACTGACTTATAAATCATATAAGCCAATAAACTGACTTAAAAGTCTAGGCCAATAAGCCTAAGCCTAAACAAAGAGGGCCTTAGAACATCATTGTGATTGTAGAGATATATCGGCTAAGACAGAAGATCAGACCTAACCGAGCCAGTCCCAACTAAACCGATGCGTCTCTAAACACAATGCAATTAGGGATAGAATTGAGGTATCAGGTAGGCAAATATATCAACCAAACCAGAGCGATCCAAGAGATCGAAGCGATGCACCCTTGAACAACACCAATGTAGTCAACAGATTCACCAGGGCCAGCGGAACGTAGGACTTACCCCTTCGCCGGAGATGGAAAGCTGATGCAACCCCACGTCAGGTGCCAAGTAACGTCAGATGACAAGTAAAAACCTTAGTAAAGAGGGTGGTGATGCGCCGAGAGTAGTTGTATTGATTGAGAGATTGATAGATTACAATGACCCCGGGTGTACATATTTATACCCATGGGTAGATACTAGTCCTTGTAGGACAATAAAGAAAATTTCCTAAAGATAAAAGGAAAACACAAAGTCCTTATCGAACACTAAACACACTTTCATAAAGATAAAAGGAAACTAACGAACTATTCCTAATTAATAGATACACTTGCCATGCCGCATCCTCCTTGAACTCGGACTCTTCTGGATAAATTTCCTTCAATTGATCCGACTCCATCAAGAACACAACTGCTGCCGATTTGATGACTCCCATCGGCCGATTCTAAGACTCTGAAGCCGATACTAACTTTAGGCCGATGATGACTTTGGGCTTACCAAATTTTGGCGTTAACACATGCCCCAAATTTTGGAGTATGAAAGCTCATGCTTCAATCTTATCTCATTTCTTGTCTTGGTGACTCCAAAACTGATCTTCCTTTGCTTCGTGCAGTCGACTTTCATGAGCCGATACTGTCTGCATTAGATGAGCCGGGCTATCAAACTCGTAGCAAAAGAATCTCTCTCTGATATGTGCTGACAATCCTTGAAATGCGAGATCTGCTAGCTGCTCATCGCTCAGGCTCAAACTATAACATCGGCTGCAGATATTCCGAAATCTTTGAATATATTCCATAGCCGATTCTCCTTCTTGCTGCTGAACTGATATCAAATCTAAAAGCTTCATCTCATCGATGCCAGCAAAGAAATAGTCATGAAATTGCTTCTCAAGATTGGCCCATCCTCCAATAGAATTCGATGGTAGTGATGAAAACCATGTGAAGGCTGATCCAGTCAAACACAGTGGAAAAAATCTAACTCTCAGAGCTTCCTCAGCCGTTGCTTCCCCACATTGCACTAAGAATTGGCTGATTTGTTCCTGTAGATATATCATCTTGCCCTGAAAATTTGGAGTAATTTGGAACTATCGGTGTGGCAATGGAACCCTATCAAACCACTCGGCATATGGCAGCCGATACACAGAAGTATGTTCCTTAGGATTGATTCCAAACTGCTCCTCTATTACCTTTGCAATTCTATTGGCCAAATCTTCCCTATAATGATATCTTTGAATTCCTTCTGGCCGATATTGTTGATATGCCTCATCATGCTGACACCGATGTGCTTGCCCCCCGAGCCGATGCTGATGTTGTTCTTCAATCTACCCCCCGAGCTGACTTTTTTGAATAATTAACTCATCAACTGTTACCTTGATCAAACTTTGTAATGTATCCGCCAAAACTCCAGATTGATTAAACAATGCGCGATGAATTGCTTCATCAACTGTATCTTGAAGTGTTTCAACCATCGGCTTGCGAGATTGCTACTTCTTGGTATTGACTTCCTCTTCAGACATGTTGGGTGCAAAACTTGTGTCCCACCGGGCGTGCCAAAAATTGACTCGAAAAACACACACTGGCTTGGGAGATCTGCTTAGCTCCAGTGTAGGTCCAAAGGTTGACGATATGTGGGTGTGCCCGTCAGTTTGATCCTGCAACTGACAAAATATGCAAATAGTATATCAATGAGCCGATCGGCTGACAAGCCGATGGAGCAGTTCCAGCCGATAGCCGATATTAGTCGATGCCGATAGGGTTTTGAGCTATCGACAATATGTCCAATGAAGATAATGATATAAAGGCAGTCGGCTGATGATGACGCAATATAACAACAATATAATCCTTTACAAACCAATCGGCTAACAATATGATATGATAGAACAAGTACTGTTCCGATGGTTAAACCATACATCGACTGGAGGTCCGATGTCATAAAATCCACAAGGTTAGATAAATCAATGAAACCTTTGTTGTCATCCGCTAAATCCAACTTATATGTATATGCAATCCTTATAAGCCGATGCCACGTCCAGATAACTTATCGGCTAGCACACCAATAAAACATTAGCATGAACCTATCGACTTAGTAAGATTTATATTATCAACAACAATCTAGTAGGTCGAAACTAACCGATGCAGCACGAGATTGTATATGATAATCTCATACTCGATAAGCCGATAGATCTGTCTAATGTGATTGTAGAGTATTGTGATTGTAGAGATATATCGGCTAAGACAAAAGATCAGACCTAACCGAGACAGTCCCAACTAAACCGATGTGTCTCTAAACAGAATGCAATTAGGGATAGAATTGAGATATCAGGTAGGCAAATATATCAACCAAACCAGAGCGATCCAAGAGATCGAAGCGATGCAGTCTTGAACAACACCAATGTAGTCGGTAGATTCACCAGGGCCAGCGGAACGTAGGACTTACCCCTTCGCCAGAGATGGAAAGCCGATGCAGCCCCGCGTCAGGTGCCAAGTTCCGCCGGATGGAAGTAAAAACCTCAGTAAAGAAGGTGGCGATACGCGGAGAGTAGTTGTATTGATCGAGAGATTGATAGATTATAATGACCCCGGGTGTACATATTTATACACATGGGTAGATACTAGTCTTTGTAGGACAAGAAAGAAACTTTCCTAAAGATAACAGGAAAACACGAAGTCCTTATCGGACACTAAACACACTTTCCTAAAGACAAAAGGAAACTAACAAACTATTCCTCCTTGAGCTCGGACTCTTCTGGATAAATTTCTTTAATTGATCCGACTCCGTCAAGAACACAACTGCTGGCGATTTGACGACTCCCATCGGCCAATTCCAAGACTCTGAAGCCGATACTGACTCTAGGCCGATGATGACATCGGGCTTACCAAATTATGGTGTTAACAAATGTGTGTGGTCAAATCTTCCTCCAGTTCATCTAAGGACACCAAGCAAAGGATAGGCTAAGATAGAGAGGATTAACTACTGAGAAACAGTGTTTAGGGAAAACTTAAGTTTAATCCTAACGCGATACTTCAGGAACTGGCAACCCGCTGTTCCCAGATTTCGCTCTACTACGTACTCGGACAGGGAGGACTTAAGTGATCTAGAGGGCTGTCACCACCTCTACACCTACCTCAAATGTACTGTGGGATACGCATCAATTATTGGATAACAATTACCTAAACACAACGTTTAAGCAATTAATATCTACTTTAGTGTTTATAACTCACCAAAGCAATCACTATATTTTACTTGATTATAGTGAACAATAATCCCGTTTGCTATTAGGAACTAACCAAGAGATAATTCTCACAAGATAAATCTAAATTACTCAGGAAGATAGTTCAGTTGAAATCAGAGTAATAAACAAAATAAAAGAAATAGGAGAAGATTACCGACAACTTCGGAATTCTTCCGACTTCTTCTACTCTACTCTCTTCATATTCTAGTATAAAATATAGTACAATAGAGCCTCTTATAATTCAGCTCAAGCTTGGAAGTGTGTGTGAAGTGAGGGAGGTCCTTAAATAGGACAGTTAATGACGGTTAGCGAATAGGAAATGTCCAAAGTGCCCTCCAACCGTCATCAGGGATGCATCCGGGACGTCCACGCCAAACCCCAGCTTGGACGACTGTAATTGTGGTTCGGCCGAACCAGGGGTACGGCCGAACCCTGGCTGGGCTCCCTTGGCCTGTCCTTCGGCCCATTTCTCTTTCTGGGCTTGCCTTATCCGATTCTCGGAATTTTGGGCTAATTCTTCAATGTTTTGATGAAGTTCAAAGCTCCTCCTTGTATGGATATGCATCCTCCTTCACTTTTAGTT